AACCGACTAAATAGTTTTTATATTATATAAAGCCGACTTTAATAAATACTAAATAAATATAATTAGCTTTTAGAAGAGATATAAATCAGTTTCGAAAGAAGTAATATCTTATTCTAAATTATTTCTTAATTCTATTATTCTAATTTCCTTTCTATTAATACTTATTTTATATTTTTCTAATATTTTTAGTATATTTATCTATTTTACTATTTATATATTCCCTATACTATTTCTCTTCTTTTATACTATTTCTTATATTAATAGGAATATTTCTAAATAAATAGGAAATCGGGATATATTTATATTATAAAATTTTTATTATTTCCTTCTATATTCTAATATTTTAGATACTATTATTATATTTATATTTATATTATATTACCTTCTTATTTTCCTATTATTACTATTTAGTTTAACCTGCCTTAATTATTTCCTTAATAATATTTCTTTAGATATATATATTTGTATTCTTTTCTATAATAGAAACCTAATTCTATATTTTACTTTTTATAATTATTCCTAATTTATAATTATATTACCTTAAATATACCTAATTATTATATCTACTTTCCCTATTATATATACTACTATTTTAGTTTTGTTTTCTTACTAGAAAGAAAGAAAAACTCGAATATATATAATATTTTTATATAATTCAAGCCTATTTCAATTTACTTTTTATTTTAGAATATACTTAAAAGAAATCCTTATAATCTCAAGAATCTTTAACTTTATAACTAATAACTATTATACTAATAATACCTTTATAATACCTTTAAGAATAATAAAATAGCTAAAGAATAGATACCTCAAGTTAGTAAAATATAATAGCTAGTTCTTATAAGCTATAGTATTATTAAAAGCCTATAGATTAATAGTATTAAAGTTCAGAGTATTAAAGGAGCTTGGACAGTTATAGAAGGCCTACTAATACCAGAAAAGATAGCTATAATTACCGAATTCAATATAAATATTCTAGATAAGCTAAGTAGTATATATAATAAGCTTTTGAAATAGAAAACCTTTATTAGAGACAGAACTAAACTGGAATTAACTAAAAAGAAGCTAAAGAATTACTAAGCTAATAATAGGGAATTCGAAAATATTATTAAAGGCATTTCTAAAGGCAGATAAAAGAAACTTAATAAGATTAAGACTATAATAAATAGTCTAGAAACCAAGGATTAGAATGGAATTATATTATATAATAAAGGTTTTAGCTAATATATTAATAATATTTATAATAATTTTAGTAAAAATATCTATAAGAAGTTATATTTTCTTTTTAAAATAGAAGCTTTAATATATAAAGCTATTTAGTTAATTAATAAAGCTACTTTAAAATATATAAAGAATAAGAAGTATTAGAATACTAGTATATTTACTAAATTAGATATTACTAAGGTATTTAAATATATTAAAGCTATTTCGAAATATAAAGAATTAAAGTTTAAGCTACTATTAGCTAATAATCTCAAAGCTGAATAGTATACCTTTAATATTTCCGGAATCCTAATTAAGAGAGCTTATAGTAATAAGCCTTTTCCTGCTTTCCGAAATAAACCTAAAGAATAGGCTTCTATTATAATTTCAGCTTTAACTCAACCGGATCCAGCTGAGAAAAATAGAGCTAATTTAATAGAACCTGGTAAAAAGGCTACTAATAAAGCTAGTAGAACTAGTAAGACTAGTAGAACTAGTATAACTAGATAAGAGGAACCTAATAAGAATAAAAAGTAAGCTAAGCCTAAGACTCCTAATAAATAGCAGAAATCTGAATACTAGACTAAATATAAAGTTAGTAAAATAGTAAAAAGTAAAGAGAAGCCTTCTATACTAAAGAGAAAAATACTATCTAGAAAGACTCCTATATCTATACTTAGAACTAAAAAGCGGAAAACTAAGGATATTGAATCCGGAGAACTTAAAAAAGGCATTTAATATACCTATAAGATACTAGCTAAATAGAAGCTAATATTTGTTTAATAAGATAAGTATACTTTTAAGGAAATATATAGTAGTATTTTGGGACCTATTTATAAATAAGAATACTATAAAATTACTAATAGATTTTTTAAAGCTTCCTATATAGTATATATTTAGTAGCTTACTAATACTTTTTCTATTAATATAAGAGATATTAATAATATTAATAATATTCTAAAGCTAGCTATTAAGATCTATAAAGTTACTAAAAGTAAGAAATATATTTCTATTATTTAAATAGATAAGGAAATACGGGATTTCTTTTTTGAAACCCAGGTAATTAAAAAATATAAATATAAGTACTATATTTCTGATTAATTCTGCCTAAATCTATAGCTCTAATTCAATATTATAGTTCCTATTCCTGAGTTTGGTACTACTAATCTAAATATAAATAGTTATATTTATAAAAAGAATTATTTAAAATAGATCGAGAAGCTTAGTATTCGAGAACTCTTAATAGAAGAGATAGAAATACTATAGTTTTACCTTCGAAAAAATAATATATTAATATATAGAGATCTTAGTAATAGCTATTTTATTTTAGCCTCTTAACTTTTAATAACAGATCTATTAATATGGCTTGGATTTTATAAGATATTAAATAAGTATTCTATTTACTTAGTTATTTACTTTTAGCTAGCCCGATATTTTATTTCTAGAAATATTAATTATAATTAGTATAAAGGTAATACTAAAGAGCTAGCTACTACTAAAGCTTTAAATAGTAAATTCTATCTTAGTAAAGAATATTGGAATATTAGCTATATTTTTCTTACGGATTATAAGAAGGCTATTATTTTTGATAAGAAGTTCTTTAAAGATATTAATTACTTTTCTATTTCCAATAAATTTGAGCTAAAAGCAGCTAAGAACTTAAATAAATATCTATTAAAAATAGTAGAAGAAAAGACTCCGAATATAATCTATATAACTAAATAAATAAATGCCTTTAGCTAGGTAATCTATAAGTCTGGAATTATAGGAAAGTATTAGTTCTCGGATATTATATAAGTCAAAGAATAACTTAATAATAATTTACTATTTAATAGGCCTTTTACTATAGTTTTAATAAGTCTAGTTACTATTAAAAATAGAATATACGAAAATAGAATCTTCTATAAGGTTATTAAAGCCTCTTATCTAGAGCTTTCCCCTTTTATTAACGGTTAATTTAAGGATATAATAGATAATACGAAATTCAAAAGAGCTATCCGTTTAGAGTATATTAATATGATTTATAATATGATTTACTATAATAAACCTCCTTAATACCCTATAATAAAGGCGGAAATTAAGTAATAATTAAAGGTAAATACTAATTAATATAGAGAACTATATCGGATTTAATATAAGAATATGGCTAAGCGGATTCGGATTATCTTTAAGTAAGTTCGAGAATATAAAATAAAACTATTTAAAGATAATAAATCTTATTTTAGGTATATAGAAAAGAAATTGGATTAACTAATAGAGGAAGATCCTGAATATTTCGTTATTTTGGACTCTAAATAGGATTTTTCTATTATTTTTAATATTTAGGAAATAAGTATAAATAAATAGAGGATCGGATATAATATAATAGGCCGTATTTATTAAAAATTATATTGTTTTGGCGGTTTTGAGATTTAGGTTATATAGTAAAGGCTATAGCCTTTTATATATAACTTGCGGAAATTATATAAGAAAGCTGGTTTTTCTATAGACTTAGAAAATAATCCTTTATATATATTTAATTAATTAAGCTTTTATATACTATATACTATTTATACTTTACTATTTATATTTTTAATTTATTATTTTACTATTTAGTTATATTTTATACTCTAGTATACTTTATATAGGTTTTTGTCTTATTATAGTTTCCCTTCTATACTATATATAAATAGTATTCTATAACTTATATAATAGTACTATATATTACTAGTAAACTAATATTATTTTTCTAATAAATATAATTATTAAAAAAAAAAGTTTTAATTTAATAATTTAAATATTATATTAAAATAATTATATATTAAAACTTTAATATTATTATTCTTATATTAAATATATATAATATAAATAAATAATAAATTAAATTCTTTAAATTATCTTTTGATTTTTTAATTAAATATAATATTATATATATATATATTAGAAATATAAAATCTTAATACTAATTATTAATATTATTATATAATTATATTTTATATTAAAAGCTAATAAGCTTTTAATATAAATATTATAATATAAAATATTTAAATTATAAGATATTTATATTTAAATAAACGTTTTAGTAAACTTTAAAATATAGCTTAAAATATTATATTTATTATAAGCTATATAACTTTAAGTCTAAATTTTTAAAATAAGAGTTATTAAATATTTATAAGATAATAAAAGATTTTTAAGAATTATAATATTACTAGTAAAATTTTTATAATATTGGAATATTATAAGAGAGCTATTATAAGATGTTTTAATAATTTTACTTTTATAAATATAAGAAATATATCTTTTAAAAATGTAATATTTCTTATTTATAATTTATAATATATTTATAAAAAAGTAGCCTGAAAATATAAAAGGCTTTAATAAGTAAATATAATAAAAAGTAGCTTAAAAATAAACTTGTAATATAAATATCTTCTAATTTTATTACTTTATATTATAATCTTTATATATATATAATAGCTTTCTTAAATTAAAGAATAACTAGTAATAACTAATTATATTAGTATTTTAATATTATTTTATTATATATTTAATACTAATTATTAAAATTAAATAATATTTTAATTTTAATTATTAATTAATATATTTTTATATTTTTATATTTTTATTATTATTTTAATAAATAAGAGAAATTTCTTTTTTAAAAAATCATTATTAATAATACTAATTAAATTTAAAGTTCTTTAATTATATATATTATAATATAAAATAATAGAATTTTAAAAGCTAAATCTTACTTAAAAAAACTAAATGATTTTAATAAATGTTATATCTATTTAAGTAGCTAGATATATATTCTATATCCGAGGCATTTGAAAAGATTTTATAGCGGCATAATGGCCATAATATATTTATTAATATTTATAGAAATATCAAACTTGCAGAGGAAGACTTGACCAATCTTCACGCCAATCCTTGCTGCCCTTCTTGCGCGGCCAGATACGGCGAAATACTTGCATTATCTCTGAGTCTTCCGCTATATCCTCTAGCTCCATCACAATATCTTTTTCCTCCCGTAAGTACTCCGCGTACCGTTTATACCTATCTGTCACCTCTTGATCGCAAACCTCCCTCGCTCTCCGACCCAGTTCCTTAACGTTAATAATATCCTCATCGCTTCGAGCAACTCGCTCAATTAGCCACGAACGACTCAGATTGTTGACAACGACTGATATGTCACGGGCACCTAAGTAGTTGCCCCAATGGCCGCCGCCCGTAGTCCACAATTTGAGAGACTCCAGCTCTTGGCCCGCCTTGCTCTGGCAGATGGTCTCCCAGATCGATCGGACCAGCGTCTCATCCACCGCGCAGTTCATCAGCATTTCTCGCAGATGGCCCTTCTTTAACAACCCTGATCCTTTGCAGATCTCGCGATCGGCTGCATCAAATGAAGCGTCGTTTCTCGAATTGGGGTCTCGAGTCACCCGCCAGTCAGAACAGTCCAAGGTAAGGAAGAGCGATTTCAATCGTCCCATCTTGCCGAAGCTCTTGTAGATCTCAGCCTCGAGCGTATCGGATTTTGTACGTTTAACCGAAATAGCTAGCTCCTGCAACGCCGGACATTGGGCGTGGATTTGCAGAACATGCTCTTTTGTGAATGTCATAGGTATATCTAGTCGACCTCGATAGTTGTCCGGAGTATATTCTGGCTCGGACGGACGTAGATTTAGCTTTTTCAACGTTTGCCCGTGTTGGTATAGAATGGCGTCCAGGATCTTGGGCTCGAATGGGCCGGACACCGAAAGCTGATCGAGAGGCTCGAATGCCCCCAAAAGGGCAATGGCGTTATTGGCGTAATTGGGTCTCTCAACGTCCTCCTCGTCGCGTGTCATACGAATGCGAAGTGTCTTTAATCGAGGGAACGAGCAATTCTGAGCGATCCACTCCATCACCTCGTCATTTACCCCTACGGTCTCACATCCGTAACCTCCGCCCAGGGCCAGATGACGCAGGCGGCTGAAGTCTGTGTGCCTGGCCCAAGTCTGGAGGAGACCCGGCGATCTCAAGTCCACCACCCCGAGTAGCGACAGCGAGGTCAAGGACCCGATAGATCGGCCGGAGACAAAGCCTGGAAGACCTCGCCATGGCTCCCGCAGGCGGCGGTAGTATCTCCACGAGTTCTCGGGCGTAAGGTTCACCACCACAACTTCTTTCAGGTTGGGCGCAAGACCGGCAACAAGCTCCATCATCGCCTCTTGGTTGAAATCGTCGTCGCCCTCCGAATCCCGCCGACTGCATTCAACCTTGACACTATACAAACACGGAGACGTGGCCAAGGCCATCTCGTAAGGATAGGGGGTGCCCCATAGTAGGGTTCGAAATCGAAATGTAAGGTGGTAGAGTTTGCATTGGGGATGGTGGTCGTGGAGGGCGTCGAGAAGGCTGGGCGGAAATTGATTCCGGCAGTCGTATACTAACTTGGTAAGACGTGGCAGTGTTTTGATCAAACCGACGACTGACGCCCATGCCAGATCCTCCTCGGAAGATTTTGCGATGACAGGCTCGTCGTAAACGACATGCGGTGAATTTTTATACGGTTCTTCATCGCCCAAGATTTCGTCAACGCCAGTCGCCTCGAACCAGCTATAGCGGTCCCTCGAGCCGGACTTATACCCCTCGATCCTGGATTCGCCAGATAACCGGAAAGAGCCTTTGACGCTGAGACAGCGGACGTGGCACGCGGACTCGGTACGGGAGAGGGTCTTGACAAGAGCATCGATGTTGCGCTGCAATGCTTCGCGACTGCTAATTGTGAGGTGGATATAGTGAAAGATTAATGGAATGGTGGCGCGATAGCAAATTGCGCTTGCCAACCCAAATGCGTAAAGACTCGGTCGATGCGAGCTGTTCAGGTGACCTGCTATCTGCTGTAACGTCTCAAGCGGGAGACCGTGTAGGTCCAGCTTAACGGAGTCTATTGCCATGATTGACACAGCTCAATGAAAGTGGTAGGAAGTAGGATCGATGGCTCTGAGAGCCAGAATTTGGTTGAGAAAAAAACAAGAATGGGTTGTTATACAGCGGGCGGAGTCATAATATATAGCCTGGCTGCCTGGTGATTACGTTATCCCGAGCGAAAAGCAGACAAGTGGCTTCTCATGGGAACTTCTAGAAGAACGCCCCAGTTTTATATAAGCCCGGTATAATGTAAAATATAATACGACTAGCGTGACTCTTAATACAACATTATATAACTGCTATAAATTCGCTTCGCGTTCTGTGTACGAAAGGTACCTCCTCCTTTGTCCGGATAAACTCGGCATGTAGGTTTTCTTATGCTCTATGTCCTTAAAACTTGAAGGCATATTTTATCTTGATAGCACCTTTGTGCCCTGGCCCCGAAACTCAGAGACAGACCGAAAGTCATACTAGAGCAGGGGTGTATAATCGAAGCGGCTTTTGACACTATTAACGAAATAATTAATAGTATGACTAAAACTATAATATATTCTTATTATAAAGCCAATCTTTGTTTAAGAATAACCACAGATCACGATTTATACAAAGAAAATTAGAGACATTACTATATATACAAAGTTTGAGATTCTCAAAAACGAAGTACCCATGAATGTTCTTGATATAATAGATTTCTCGCTATATAAGAACGGACATTATATAAGAAATTAGTAAATATATCCTGTAAACTAAATTTATACTAGTTGAGAGAAATTACAAATTACTTAGATATACCTGATTATAATAGAAGCCAAAGTAGCTACTATTTATTCTTATAATAAAATAACCTATTTAGCTAGTAATAAAATAATAAATTTATTATTAAGTACTAGCCTATATCTGGGTCTTTTTATAAGTCTCTAAATAGTTCGAAATATATTTATAATAAAGTTATAAATATTTATTTTTACTTTATTAATATAATTCTTTTTATAATTCTTTTAATATATATAAGAGTATATTATTATTATATTATAATTCAAGTTAGTAATATATTGAATTTTATAATATTTTTCTTGGAAGTAATTTTGTATTATTTTCTTTTAGTATTTTTTAATATTATATTAAATTATAATAAAGTAATAATAATATACTAGATTTAATTTAATTATTTGGAAATTATTATTTTTAATTAAGTATATAAGACATATAATAATAAAATAATATATAAGTAATTAAAATAAATATATTATAAAGTAATACTTATAAATATAATTAATTTCCAAGAAGTAATTCTAATAAAAAACTAATTAATATTCTCTTTTAAAGCTATAAGTATCCTTTTATATATTCTCTAATATTTAGCCAAATATATAAAGCTCTTTATTTAATTAGAAAATATAATTCTATATAATTTATTATTAGTTTATTAGTAATATATTATAATAAATATCGTGAATCTAGTTTCCTATTTTAAATAAAGCTTATAATTAGAATTATATGAATTATATAGAATTATATTTCCTAATTAAGTAAAGAGCTTTATATACTTAACTAAATACTAGGAAATATATAAAGAGACGCTCCTAACTTTAGAAAGAGGTATTAATTAGTCTTTTATTAGAATTAACTCTTGGAATTAATTATATTTATAAGTATTATTCTATAGTCTATTTATCTTAATTACTTATATATTATTCTATTATTATATACCTTATATTCTAATTAATCTAATATTCGGGAAGTAATTTATTATAAGATAATTAAGCTATTAATAAACAAAATTACTAATAGTTAAAATATTAACTAAAAAAAGCGCTTTTATTATTACTAGAATAATCTAGTCGGGTATTTAGGGTAGTATCTAGTTAGGTACTTTTTATATTACCTAATTAGAAAAAGGAAATAGAATTTAGATATTTCTAGAACTAGCTAGTAAAATATTAATAATAATAAAGCTAGTAGCGGCTTATTATTATATTACTAAATTAGAGGTAGAAATATAATAAAAGAAGGATTTATAAGAACTAGAAGCTTAAATTCGTTATTTTAAAAATATTTAAATATCTAGTATAAAGCCCGTTATATTTCTAATAATACTCTTAGTTTAAAAAGCCCTAAAAACCCGAGAACTATTAATTTATAAAAGAAAGAGTATTAAGAAAGCCCAGAACTTCTTTTATTAAATAGAGCTAAAATAATATAAAAATAGCGGGATTACCTAAACTATAGATATAATAAAAATTATATATTATATTTTCTATTTTAATAATATAGCCAGAAATATCAGGAAATATAGGAAATAATTAATAGATATTAATATTATAAATTAGAAGACTTTTATTAAGTTTATAAAAAAGATTATTTTGAATTTAAAGAACTATAATAATAATACTTTTACTAAGTTTAAAAATATAAAATAGTAGCTAAGTTAGAGTATTTAAAGCTTTATATCTTATTTGAATGGCCTATTAAATAACTTAAAATATATGGGTTTATTATAAGAATAGAATAATTTATTTAGTAATTTGAGGCAAGAGATTTGGAACAAGAATAATTATTAAGGAAATACTTTATAAGAAAGAAAGAAACTTATTTCTATAACTATAAGAATTAAAAATAACTTAAACCTGTTTATTTAACGGGAATATAATAATAAGCTAATAGAATAGTAAAAGAAAAGAAATAGAAGAAAAGAGAAAGGAAATAATAAAGCGAAACGGAAAAGAAATATATTCTTATTATAAGGTTTATAAAACCGGAATAATAAAGATATAGGAATAAGGTCTAATATAATACCTGTATTAGGATTTATAAAACCGGATATAATTTGCTTTATTTACTAGAAAGAGAATTACTATATTACTATTTACCTAAATTAAAAGAAACTAACTTACTATAATTATAATAAGTCTGGTTATAAAGTAGATAAATATCCAGAATTAAAGAAGCCGGGAAACAAATATATCCTATAATAGTTATACTTATTTATATTATAAAAGGCAAAGCTCCTAAAACAAGAATAGTAATTAAGGTTATTATTAAAACAAGAAAAAATAGATATAGAATTTGAATATTAGTTAATTCGGATATAAAGACTAATTATATAAAGAAAAAGATAGCTTTAGATATAAGTATTTTATTAATATTAAAAATAATTCCCTTAATTTTACTAAAATAAAAAAAAATCTATTTATATAAAGATTATATTCTTGGAATTATTATTAAGAATATATTAGAAAACTAAAAGAAGACTAATATATACTTTATATTATATAATTTTAATCTGAATTATATTAATATAATACTTGAATTCCTATAGCTTTACTAGATTAATTCCCTAATTTCTTTTAGAGAAATAATATAGAAATATTAGATTTAATTATAAAAAATTAAAGTTCTAAATACTAAGAAATTTACTAAAATAATAAAATATAAGATATATGTTTTTCTATTAATTGCCTATTTTATAATAAATAGCTAAAAAGTTATTATTATTATTATAAATGAAATAATTATATTTCCTAAAAAAATATTAAAATCTTTTCCGAATATTTTTTATAGAAACTATAGATATATTATTTGACTATTATATAATAGAATATTATATAAATCTAGAACCAGGATTTTAATTACTATATAGTTCTATATATATTTTATTAAAAAAAGAGCTCAAATTTCTTTAGAAATATTTTAATACTAGCTTAGAAAAGAAATAGATCTATTATTTTACTAGTTTAACTAATATACTAATTATATTTATTTTAAAGAAAGAAGGCAGCCTATATTTATATATTAACTATTAAGAACCGAATTCTATTATTATTTATTAATAAAATAATAAATAAGCTTTATAAAATAAAGATATATATAAAGCTAAATTTAAAGAATATTTATTATTAATTACGAATCCGGAAAAGTAATAAATAGAAAATAGTATTTTAAATATATTATATCTTTTAAACTCTCTAATATTCCGGTAATATTTCAGATATATATTAATTATATACTAGTAGGCCTTATTAATATTATTTATATAATTTATTTAAATAATATTCTAATTTATTCCGGAAACCTAGAATAGTATATAATAATAATCTAATATATATTCGAGTAATTATAATAATACTAGCTTTTTATAAACTTAGTAAAATACGAGTTTAATATAGAAAAAATAAAGTTCTTGGAATTTATAATTAGTTCAGATAATATAGAAATAAAAGCTAGCCGGATTATAGCTATTAGGAAATAGCTAGCCCTAAAAAATAATATCCGGGAAATTCAAGTATTTCTAGATTTTACTAATTTTTACTAGAGATTTATTTATAAATATTTTAGAATAGTAAAAGAATTAACTAATTTATTAAAAATTAATAGAAAACTATAATATTATTTTAACTAGATAAATAAGGCAAATAAGGCTTTTAGAGAACTAGAAGTTATATTTATAATAGTATTAATTCTTTATTATTTTAATCTAGCCTTAAAGATTTATATAAAAATAAATATTTCCGGCTTTATAATTATAGGTATAATTTTCTAGCTCTTTAATAAAGAAGCAAATACCCGGTAGTATTTTATTACTTTCTATTTAAAGAAAATAATTATAAATTAAAAATAAATATAAGATATATAATTCTAAACTCTTAGCTATTATTCTAGTATTTTATATTTAGTATTATTATCTAATATATATCTAGTATATTATTATTATTAAAATAGTTTATAATTAAAAGAAAATTAAATAATAAATAGATAAAATAAACTAAAAAGCTAGCTGCCTTTAATTTCGTTTTAAAGTATTACCCGAAATATAATAACTCTATTAATAAACTATTAAAAAAGCCAGATTTTATAGTAAATATAAATAAAAATACTTTATTATTTATATTTTATAATAAGTTATAAAATATAGAATAAAGAGCCTTATAAATAGAAATAATAGAATATTATATTATTTTTATAATATTATAATATAAGGCCTAGAAAAAAAGAAATAAGTATTTTTTAATTAGTAAAATACTAAAGAATTCCAAAAAAGAAATCCATTTTAATAATGAAATAGTACTAGAGATATTATTACTATCTATTACTAGTATAGCTAGTTATAAATAATATATATTACGGATTCTAGCTATATAAATAGCTAGATTCGAAAAAGTATATAAGGAAAATAGAGAAATATTACTTGAATTATTATTATAATATTAAAGGCTCAATTTCTTAATATAATACTAGTAATATAAATAGTTCTTAAAAAAGAATTATTATAAGTAAATTATAATAATTCTATAAATAGATATTTTAATACTAGTAAAATACTAGAAATTCTTTAAAAGAAATACTTCTAATAAAGTATAAAAAGTATTATAGTTATTATAATATATAGTACTAGTAGGGATTAGATTAGAGCTAGAAAGATATCTGGTATCTAAGCGAGGTATCTATAGTTACCTAATTATTACACGTGATTCCGAGCTTAAGCTAGTATATGGGCCTGTATATAGCTTGCGATTATTTAGATCCGAGGCTTCTTTGGGATTCTCTTCTCTCTTTAGCTTTAAATTATTAAGATAAAGATAGTCTAACTATGCCTTTTAGGCCCTAGATCTTATACTCGTAACATAATTTAAAGCTCACTTATTTCTTAATCCTATAAAGAATCTAAATAATATCTACCTAATTAGTTTTTAATAAGTGCAGACACGACGTACTATAGCTACTTCTGAACTAGTTAACTAATATTAGAATAAAAGAAAGCCCTAGAATAACTAGGCAAGTTAGAAGGAGCTATAGTACGAGATACTACTAGTACATTACTAGAAAGTAGACTAGAGCCTCTTATTAAGTCTCTTAAGGAATCCGAGCATCCCGTTAATATTTATAGTAAAAGAAATACTTTCTTCTAAAGAATAGAAGAAGAAGAGAGATCTGCCTTATTAAAGGTGGAGTTCCAAGAATTACTTTAGAACCCAGATGCTTTATATAAAGAGATTATTAAACTAATTCTAAAGATATATGATATTCTTGCCTATAGCAAGAATTATTATAATTAGCTAAGAGAAACCAAGCAAGCCCTATAAAAGAATAAAGCCATTATCGAGAAGCTTATTATATAGCCTGCCGGGATAACTAGTTTCCTTACTTTAGAAAGTAGATACTTAATTAAACTTCCTGACTTTCCTATTTTTAAAGATATAACTAAGAATAGTATTATCTTTAATAATTAGTTAGTTCAAATTAAGAATAAGCTCTATAGTAACTCTAATATCTATTAGATAAAGAATCTCAAGATTATTTACATATCTGGCTATATAGGTAATTATATCCTTATACTAATCTTTTCCTGCCTAAACTAAAATAATTAATATATATACGAGACTATTAGGGAACTATATACCTATCTAGAGAAACTATATAGTAACCCGAACAAGAAGCATAATACTCGGTAAGTATTTAAGAAGCTATTTATAAAGAAGAGCTAGATCTTTTAGGAGTTCTATATCCTATTCCTGAGGTATATAGTAAACAGAAATATTAACTTATAAGACCTTAAGAATAACCTAAATAATAAGCTTACCTGGAAGCTTTAAGAGGCTATAGCTATATATTATAATAACCCGGCTATCCGTATTATAGAGTTTGTATAATACTATATTACAAATAACTAGCAGATCCGAGCTTATTATAAAAAGAAAGAATAAGTATCTAAAAAAGCTAATAAAGATATAGACAAGCCAAGCCTAGAAAGCGCCCCTTATATAAAGCCCGCTTCTAAGACTCTAGTAATAAATAAGCCTGCTATATTAAAGATCGGATTTTTAGATCTCAAGTATTATAACTATAATAAATTTAGTTATATATCTAAGAACTATCTAGAGCCTAAGATAAAGTATATAAAGCAAGTTTTGGCAGCCAAGCTAATAGTACTTATTATAAGTAAGCTATCTAAGAATATAGAATAGAGAAATAAGAATCCCTAAAAGAAGTCTTTTTTTTAGGGCCATATTATATAAATATAGTAAAAGTTAATTTGAACTAGTTACTAGGAAATAAAGCATTTATATTCTTTTATATAATTAGTAATAATAGATTAGGTATTAAGACTTCTTCTCTTATTAATATTAGAGTAAATAAATATATTTTTATTAATTTCAAGTTTATAAAAATAATTAAATAATTTCTAGATATTAAGCCTACTTAATTAGTATTATCCTATAATATAAGGGAGTTTAATAATAAGTAGGCCGTATCTATTACTTACTATATTAAGCTTATACTTTTAATTAATAAACGGAAGGTCCTAGTACTTATACTAGTTATAGGGCTAGGCAAGTATAATATGATTTTGGGATAATAGTAGTTTATAAATACTAGTATCTTAATTAATTATAAGAATAAAAAGTTAATCTAGCCAGATAATTAGCCTAGAAAAAAGAATTAGGATAAGGTCCTAACTATTATATATAAGAACTTGGAATCTGGGAAAAGTAACTAGTACTAAGAAGATATAGATAAAAGAGATAAAGCTATAGCTATAGATAAGTCCTAGAGACCTTAGCTTATAAAGAGGAAATCCCCTTATTCTTTTTCTAAGCCAGACTCAGAAAGCCATATATAGTAAAAGAATTAAGCTTAATACTATAGAGAAATACAAGTAGTCTTAGGGAATATAAAAGTTTTTCCCAAGCCAGAAATAGAGATATTAAATCTATACTATTTAAAGAAAAGCTATAAGATCTAGTTAAGGCCCTTAGTTAATATTATAGGTATCTTGCCGGCTGCTTTCTAGATAAACCTATAGAAAAAAGAGAATCTTTTCTTTATAATATTATTTTTCGAGATTAATAAAAAGCTAGAATTATAATAAGAGAACGAGTTTATTCCGGGCAAGTAATAGCTAGGAGAGACAAAGCTATAGTAGCTAGTAAGAGTTTTACTAGAGGAATTTAAGGATTTTGCAGATATTTTCTTAAAAGAAATATTAAATATCTTACTCCCGTATTAATTATATAATTATAAGATTTAGATTAATAATCCCAAAGGCCTAGAGAGCCTAGGGTATTTCCTGTTCTATTAATAGTTAATTTACGAGCTATAGGAGATTAAGTATTTCCTTAAAAAGAACTTCTAATAAGGCTTTATTAAGCCAAGCCAGTTTCCTTTCGTATCTCTAATTCTCTTTATAAAGAAGGCTAATAAAGCTCTCTAATTCTATATTAACTATTACAAGCTAAATAACTTAATATAAAAGAACTATTATTCCTTTTCCTTTATTTATAAGACTCTTATATAGCTAGCTTAAGCCAAGGTTTATATAAAGCTAGATATTTAGCAAGCATTTTATTAGATCCAAATAGACCCAGAATTAGAAGAACTCATAATATTTCATATAAGATATAGGGCCTATAAATATAAGATTCTTTAGAAAGGCCTAACTAATAGCCTTACTATATATTAGAAATATATAAATAATATTTTCTTTAATTACCTTAATATCTTTTATATAGCTTACTTGAATAATATTCTAATTTACTTAAATAATTCCCTAAAGTATAAAAACCATATATAAAAGGTCCTTTAGTAATTGCGGAATACCGGCCTTTAAATAAATATTAAGAAATTAGAGTTTAAGATTATTTATATAAAGTACTTAGGCTTTATTATATTTACTAGAGGTATTGAAATAGATCTAGATAAGATAGTAGTTATTAAGAACTAGTAACTACTAAAGATAGTTAAAGAAATATAAGGCTTTCTGGATTTTTATAACTTTTATTAGTATTTTATTACAGAATACGGCCGTATAGTAAAGCCCCTAATAGCTCTAATATATAAGGGAGTTCTATTTAAGTAAATAGATTAGTATTAAGAAGGTTTTACTAAGCTAAAGCAAGCTATATTCTCGGTACTAATTCTATATTACTATAACTCGAACCTCTTTACTATAGTTAAGACAGATATATTAAATAGAGTTATAGCTAGTATTCTCTTATAATAAGACCTCTAGATAGGACTCTGGCACCCGGTAGTATTTTTCTCTAAGATTATATAATTAGTAAAGCTAAATTATAATATTTATAATAAAGAAATACTTGCTATTATTCTTTCTTTAACCGAATAGTAAGCGGAGCTAGAAGGCCTATAAGAGGCACCCTTTATAATTTACTTAGACTACTAAGCCCTTAAGTATTTTATAACTATAAAGAAGCTCTTAGTAAGATAAGCTTATTAGATAAAGTACCTTTCCTGCTACTATTTCAAGTTTATATATTAGATAGGCAAGTTAAATAAATAAGCAAATGCCCTAAGTAGAAAATATAAGAATATAATTACCCAGAATAAAATAATAGTAGCCTACTAAACCCAAATTCTTCTTCTATAATAAAAGATTAATAATAATATTATACGGGATCTCTAGTTAGCCCTAATTAAGGCCTTTATAAGCCCGGCTTAGGAAGAAACCTAGTATAATAATATCTAGCTAGTAAACAAGCTATTAAGTAAGAACTAAGAGTTACTAGAACTAGAAAAGCTATAAAATAAGGCAAGAAATAAAAAGGAAGGCACTTGAATATTATAAGATAGTCTTCTCTTATAATATAATAAACTATTTATATCTAATAATATAATAATACCCGAGATACCCTTATATATTACTCTTATTTAGGAGATACATATATAGTCCCTAATAAGACACCCAGAATAAGCCAAGCTTTAATAGCTTCTTTAGGCCTACTATTACTAGCTAGGCTAAGATATAAATATTAATTAATATAGGAATAACTACTATACTTACTAATAATCCCACGTTTCTAGAGACAAGAAGCCAGGGCTCTTATATCTATTACTAGTTCCTGACTGCTTCTAGTAATATATATTAGTAGATTTCAAGAAATACCCAGAAAATAAAAACAAGTATAATATAATAGTAATTTTTATTAATTACCTAAATAAGTACCCTATTATAATTCCTGTCTGAAATATAGTAATAGCTAAAGAATTAGCGCTCCTATTTCTTATCTATATAGTTTGCTAAGTTAGTATCCCGGAGACTATAGTATCTAATTAAGGCCTCTAGTTTATATTAGATTTCTGGAACAAGTTCTATAAGTATATTAATATAAAACTTAAGTTATTAATTACTAATTATCCCTAAACTAATAGCTAGATAAAGATTATTAACTAGTACTTTAACTAATAGCTATATCCCTATATAAATTACTACTAGGATAATTAGGACAAATAGGTAGTAATAATTAATTACTAGTAGGTAATTCTGGTTTATAAGACTATAAGCTAATTCCCGTTTCTTATAGAAAAGGGCTATAAACCGCAAATATTATTTAACTAGGAAACCCAAGTATAATCGGGTACCCTAAAGAAAGAGCTAAATAGATAGAAGGCAAAGGCCCTAGTAATATGGCTTTATGAATTATAGTAAAAAGTACAGGAAAACATAATATAAATATAAGAATATTATATTACTCAAGCTAATAAATACTACTAACTAGTAGACTTCGAAATAGGAAATAAAATATAAATTACTACTAAGTACTAGAAGAATAATTATCCAAACCGCAAGCTAGCTTACTAAATAGAAGAACTATATAAAATCCTGGAATAAGTAAGATATTTCTTTAGGCTTAAGCTTCTGGAATTAATAAGAATATATCCGGTATTTTATATAAAGAAGCTATATAAAGATCCAGGTAACCCTATTTTCGGATAAGTAAATCCGGAGCCTCTACTATTAGAACTATAAGACAGGGAAATAGAATATAAAGTTCAAGAGATATAAGTAGTAAAACTGCTTTATAGAAAGCTAAAGTACCGAGTCTAGTAGAAAGGATAGGACCCAGATCCGGAGTAGTATTCTGCTTCCTTATTAAATAATAGTACCCTAGCTCTTTAGAGCTTCTATAATAAGAACCCCGAATAGCCAGGACCGCCCCAGAATCTCTCCTATTAGTTAGACTATACTAAGAATAATATATTACCGGAACTATATAATATGGACGGAAATCCTTTAAAGTTATATATAAAAGGCCCTGGCCTTTAATATATAACCTGCGACTTGGAAATTTAATAGGGACTTTCGAAGCTCGGGAATAAGCTTACTTTAAGAGAAGAAGTAATATTATAGTTATTATAATATATAATACTAGTAGGGATTAGACTAGAGCTAGAGAGGCATCTAATATCTGAGTAAGGTATCTATAATTACCTGATTATTACACGTGACCCCGAGCTTAAGCTAGTATATGGGCCTGTATATAGCTCGCGATTATTTAGATCCGAGGCTCCTTCGGGATCCTTTTCTCTCTTTAGCTTTAAATTATTAAGATAGAGATAGTCTAATTATGCCTTCTAGGCCCTAGATCTTATACTCGTAATAAAAAAAATATAAGAGATTATATTAGAACTTGTTTTATATATTAATAAACTAAAATAAAGAAATATCTATTATATAATATATTTAGTTTATTTCCTATTTTTTTTAAGTTATAGTAAGAAATTATTATAAACTTTATTATGGGACTATTTCTTTTTAGATTTTATAATAAAATATATAATTCTATATTTATTATTATTAATAAATATATGAAAATAATATAATATATTTTAATTACTAAAGAAATCTCGGCTCTTGAGCTAATAAAGCTATTTATATATTATATTATTAAAGACTTCGATATATTTACAAATATAATCTCTAATAAAGAATCTATTTTTATAAATAAGTTCTAGTTAAGTTTATATTTCTATCTAAAGGTTTAGTAATAATTAAATATAGTATTTTATTTATAAACTAATAGATAAATAAAGAATCTAAACCAAATTCTGGAATAGTATTTAAGGTATTATACTAGCTATTAATAAAATAACTAGGTAATAAAGCTTGTTTTTATAAAGTTTATATATAATAATTTCATATATTTAATAATAAAAATATTTCTATTTTATATATTATATGAATTCTATTCTAATATTAAACTATATATTAAGAATAATATTTCAGAAAGAGAAATACTAGTAATATAGAAAAGAATATAAAGGATTTAAATAAAATAGAAAATACTAGAGAAGTAATAATAAAAAGTAGTAAATATATAGAAAAAGTACTATAATAAAAAATATATTAATATAAAATTTAAGATATATAATATAGTTATACTTTATATAAAGAATATTTAATAGCTTTATTCTAGTATAAAGCTAGTAAATAGATATCTTGGCTTCTTTAAAATTCTAGAAATTATAAAAATATATAAATAGATATATTATTTGAAATTATTACTATTATATTAGATCTATAATATTTTTTATATTTCTTTCTTAAAACCATAATATCTATAGGCTAGTATTATAATAGAACTAGAACCGGTCGAAATTAAAAATAAAGAGAAGTTTAAGATAAAATCTATTATAGTTTATAAAAAAAATATCTTATTTATTAAAAGAACTACTTACTAGTAAAAAATATATAGAAACTACTAAATAATCTAGAAAATATAGCTTAAGAATTATAAAAATACTTAGAAAAAAGTAATATTATAATACTATTAGCTAAATAGAAATATAAAAAATAAATACTTTTATTAGAAAACTATTAAAAAACCATATATTTATTCTTAGAAAAACTATATAAAAATTATTAAAAACTCTAATTTCTATATCTTATAAATATCTTATTCTTATAATTAGTTTCTATTATTATTATTATTATTATTATTAGAATTCTCTCGAGAAATAAATAATAAATTAGCCTAAATAACTATTAGTTATTAATAAGAAATAAAAAGGAAATAAGCTTATTTAATATTAAAAAATATTAATTATATCTATATTAAGCTAGTAAGAATTATTTAATTCATACCTTAAATTATTAGAGGAATTTTTTAGCCTTAAATAATAGCTTTAATATAAGAAATATATAAAAATTAGTATAGAAAAAGGACAGAAATAGCCTTTTCTTATTTAGATAGAGAATAAAGAAAATACTTATATATATCTATAATTTAGAAAAGGTAATTTAATTATATTATATATATTTAAGAAACCTTAGATAGTATTAGAATAGGAAATAAAAGAAGGAAATTATAACTTATAGAATTTTATTTCTTATTCTTAAAATAATAGTAATTATATATTAAGTAATTATTACTTTTAATATAAATAAAATCAAGAAACTTAGTAATATTTTTAAAATATTAAAAATAATAAAAGTAAATTAAGGCTATAAAAGTATTAGTTAAATAGTTAATAATAGACTAATAAGTACTAAAAAAAAAAAGATCTATTTTAATAGATAGAGAAATAGAAAAAAATATTAGAAAAGGCTTAAAAAAACTTAAAGGAAGCTTAAAAGAGCTTAAAAAAGGCTTAAAAAAGGCTTAGAAAAGAAAGATAAAAAATAAAAAAGAGCTAGATATAATATTTAATATATATAAAGATTATAGAATAGGAAGTTATATTAGATAATAAAAGAGTTTATTCAACTAACTAGAAAAGAGCTTGAGTGAAGTATGAAGTTTCAAGAAGTGAGTATATAGATCCTGACTAAATAGAGCAATTATACTAGCCCCAATTCAGTAATTCTCACTATAATATATCCCCCAGGAAGATATAATACCGTATTCTACCTGTTTTGCCTAATTAGAGAGCTTTGAAATAGCGAAATTCATTTAATATATGGGTTTTATAAAGCCATATTAATATTCTAATTCGAATAGGCTTAGTATATATTATTTCCCCAGATTACTAAATTCCAGGGGATCCCTATATAAACCCCCCCTTTTTTACTAACTCCAGAGCCTCTAATCAAATACTCTTCTTTAATACCCTTCTAGAGATCCCTTTCCAAGCTTCTGATTATTATAAACATGGCTTCTATTTCTTTTCATACTACTATTAAGTCAATTCCGGCTTATAAATCCAAGATATTTTCAACCCAAAATATATTCTTACTTTATCTTTTACTGACTTTAAATAGTATTAAATAGCTTATAAGTCCGCTATAAGTATAGCTCTTAACTATTAATACAAAGCTTACTTTTAATAGAATATTAAGGTTCAGATCCCTATAGTATCTTCTAATACTTCTAGTACCCCTCTACTAAAGGTAAAGAAGTCTATACCAAAGCCTTATATTCCTTGTCCTGCTTATACTAGTCTTAGAGAGATCCCTTATATAGATTATTATAAGTTCTCTATACTATTCCAAAGCTTGTTTTGATTTAATATAGTCTTATCTGCTTTAAAGAATAAGAGTAATAGTTCTTATTATAATACTATTAGCCGAGGTTCTTATTACTAGAAGTATACTTCTAGTTATTCTTATTTAGTTATTCCGATCTCTTATATCCCTATTATATAGCTCTTTCTTATAAAACTTCCGATTACTAAAGATACTATAAGCTTCCTTTTCTTAATTCTCTTTTATAGATTCTGACTATTTTAAAGTATTTATCTATTCTTAGATATTCTATTTATACTATATTTGAGATTACCGAATCTAATAAAGAGAATAGTAGTAAAAGCTCTTTTACTAAGGTTTAAAAGGCTATTAATAGGAATAAGGAGTAGTCTAATTGGGTAAAGGGCCTTCTATATAAGCTTATTAATATTATAGTAGAATGCCTTTAGATCTTTTACTATTAGCTTTCAAGCTCTATTATTTTAATAGATTTTATAAATAAAAGATATAAATAAACGCTTCTTTTTATATTATTTAATTATTTCGATCTTTATTCTAATATTTTAAAGATTTAATAAAGCTTTAAAGTTTTTGAATTTGAATTAGGGTAGATTTTTTATAAGTCTATTTATTAGTATATTACTTATTTAAAGATATATAACTTGAAATATATCTTTACTATATTCTTAATATAGCTATATATTCTGGATATTAATATAATAGAGCTTTATAGTAATTCTTTTATTCTTTCTAATAATTAGTTAAATAGTTTACTTATTATTATAGAATATAGTTTAGAGCTTTCTAAAATCTAAGTATAGATCTCTAAATAGCCTTTAGAGAGCTATAGTCTCCTTTACTATATAAGTAACTCTATATATTTCTGATTTGGTTAAAGAGGTAGTTATAGAGCTCTATTAAATAGTTTTCTATAATATTAAACTTCTAAATAAGGAAAT